TGATTCAATCAGATGATTGGAAGTTCTTTGTTTCTTAAATCTTATTAATTTTGTCATATCACCTAACATTTTGGATTTAACATCCATTTATCAGGAAGACCATGTGCCGTTTGTCTCTTTGCTCTTGGCTTACCTCACTCAACATGATTTCTTCTAGCTCCATCCATTTCCCTGCAAATGCCATTATTTTCTCCTTTCTAATGGCTACATAATATTCCATTGTGTATATATATATATATCACAATTTTGGGGTCCATTCATCTGTGGTGGGGCATCTGGGTTGTTTGCATATCCTGGCTATTCTGAACAGTGCTGCAATAAACATGGACGTATATATGTCCTTGTATACTGGCTCCTGTTGTTCAGGATAGATGCCTAGAAGTGGTATGACTGGGTCATAAGGAAGGTCAATATTTAGCTTTCTGAGGACCCTCCAGACTGCTTTCCAAAGTGGTTGTGTAAGTGTACATTCCCACCAGCAGTGTAATAGGGTTCCTCTTTCTCTGCCTCCCCTCCAGTATTTGTCATTGGCTGATTTGTGGATGTGGGACATTCTGACTGGGGTAAGGTGGTATCTCAGGGTTGTCTTTATTTGCATTTCCTTCACAACCAGGGATGGTGAACATTAACTCATGTGTTTCTTTGCCATTTTTATTTGTTCATCTGAGAAGTCTCTCTTTAGTTCCCTTGCCCATTTAGTAATTGGTTTGTTAGGTTTGGGAAAGATTAGTTTCTTGAGTTCCTTGTGTATACTGGGTATTAACCCCTTGTCTGATATATTGCTGGTAAATATTTTTTCACAGGCAAGTCAGTCAGACCTTGGCTTAGCTGGAAGTTCCCTCACCCCCGGTGGAGCATTCCATTGTCAGTCTGATCAAGGAGGGAGAAGGGGGACTCCCTTGGCCCCTAAGAGACCATAGCCTGTTTTTTTAAATTATTATTTTCTGCTTCCATGTGAAAACCCATATAAGCCCAACCCCAAATCCACCCTCTCATACAACCTCCATGGTTGTATGAAGGTGGGGAAAAAAGCTTAAAGTGCACTTAGATTTTAAAATGATTATCAGCTATCAGTGTCCTGGAATTACAGTGGTGACAGATACTTCTGCCCATAGCACTATAGAATCATGTGATCAGAATTTAGCAAAACTTAAACTTAAAAATGAATACTTTTGCTAACAAACAATCTCTTAGAGATAACCAAGATTTGACATTTAGACCAACATTGATAGCAAAGCAAATTAGCATAAGAATGGACCATCCAATATTTCTTAGATGGACCTCAGTCTCCAGTGCCTGCTGAAGAGACAACTTTTGCTAGCAAGGCACATTAGCATATGAATGATCTTTGAATACTTTCTAGATGGCTGGAGGAGGAGTAAGCTTGGTGGAAGGGTGGGGGTTACGTGAAGCTAAACCTTAACCTACCATATGGCCTTACTTTGTTACCCATTTTAAAACTAGAGTACTTTACATCCCAAATTCCAAACTACCAGGGCTAATTTGGGGTCAAAGGAGACTTGGTTTAGCCAGCCAACCCCAAATGTGAGCCAATCTACTGTACAAATTTGTTTTTAGTTTAGATTTAGAGTTTACCCCATAGTCCTCTGAAAATTTCAATTTAAAATTATCCAATATATACTGGCGGAAGATACAAGAGGAACTTTGGCTCCTACCCCCAAATAGATATATAAAGAATAAAGACAATGACACAGACAACAAGGATCCATATTACAAACTGGTGCCAATTCTTAAGAAAACAGAATGAGACAAGACCAAGACAGAAACAGAAAAACACAAATCCTCTACTGTCATCACAGCCTGAAAGGGCCCATCGGTGGGGCCTGCTCCCATCTGACCTCCTCCCACTTTACATCCAAACAGATAGATCTTCAGCAGAAACATAGACAAACAGAAAACAAGAACAGAGATAAACAGAAACTTACTCACCTCCAGATGATTCCTGAGTGACTCCAAAAAGCTGGACCCCCAAAAAGATTTAGTGGAATGTCAGACATCCATGATCCTGGCACTTGGAGTAGCAGAGGAGCCATCAGGCACTAAGAAAACTCTGAGATGTTCTCTGTTCTATGGAGTCTCCCATCCTCTGGCAACCAGTATTGCTGAGGCCACTTGCCAGTGGCTTCAAGGAACCCAGCTGCCCCCATTGGCACTGGAATCTCGTTGGGAACTCCAAATGATATACAGGAATATGACCACGAGATAACAGAAAAGCCACATTTTGAGAGGTCAGATTGGGAGTCTATTATACAGCCAGCCCTTGTGAGCAGACACATGTTCCTCCAAAACTTGCAGGCTCAAAACTGAGTTAAGAAACTCAGTTAGGAAACTGATTCCTGAGGGTAGTAAAAAGAGAGCAGAAAAGCTATCTCAACAAACCAGATCACATCTAATGGAGAGCTGAAGAAGAACACCATGGTGAACTGAAGAGAGTCAAGAGACATGAGACGTGGTACAAAATGACAGCTGAACTGATCTGGGCAGAACAGGGCTATGGTTAGCATCACTGGGAGCCAAAAGTTCAAAGAGTCTTGATGTTCATGGCCCTCTGGCGGACAAAAAGACTCCTGATAGCAGATTCTTCCATTAGGGATGTAGACATACCACTTGCATAGAGAAATCTATTACTTTATTCATTGTGCATGTTCTGGGGCTTGGAATCAGGGCCCGGGGGCTGTTCCTGAGCTTCTCTTCCTCAAGACTAGTGCTCTAACACTTGAGTCACAGTCCCATTTACGGAATCTACTTCTTTTATTTTTACCCACGCTGGAAATTAACAGCTAACCTGTCCTTGGCTGACCTCTGGTCAGCAGCCAGGCAAGGGAGCACCAGATTTCCCTTCCCTGGCCTCCAGCACTTCCTTCCCCAGAGCCCTTCCTTGCATGCCTTTCCAGGTGATTTTGACAGTGGCAGGAACAAGCTCCTCAGGCACATGGCAGAGATTGGACATCTTGTTCTCCTTCATCGTCTGGAAGGAACTGCTCTCCAGGACTAAGTCCAGCTCCTCTGGCTCCAACGCCTTTCCCAGGACCCCCCAGATCTTCTATCATGCTCCTCGGGTCCTAATGAGAGGAAAACAGGGGCCACGGGTATGAGAGGGGACAACACGGAGCAGGTCTGAGGAGGAAAATGCAGAAGAAGAGAGAAACAGCAGAAGGCACTGGCAAGAGAAAGGGTGACTGGAATGCAGGGTTGGAGGTGTGGCTCAGTGGGTAAAGCACCAGCCAGAGGGCAAAGCATCAGGCACTGAGTTCAAGACTCCATCTCAGAACAAAAATAAAGAAAAGGAAGATGAGAGGAATGCAGGAAGGAATAACACACAACAGGATGTAGAAAGTTGACATAGAAGGTGGGATGGAGACTGAGGAGGGGGGATAGTGGGGAAGAAGATACTGCAGAAACAGGGGAGATGGCAGAAGGGGTGGAGAGGGCTGTGGTGGGTGCATGTAAAATCAATCGTTACCTTTTTCATCTGCTCATAACTGAGGACCAGCACATTCTCCTTTTCCCTCATGGACATCCAGCCCCGGACGTGATCAAACCATGACCAGTAAGGCACTGCAGGGGGAACAGTGGGGCAGTGTGTAAAGTCTCCACCATTCCCGATCTGCATGGTGGTCTCAGCACTGATCGCTCTGGTCCCTGTCACCTTCACTAGGGTGTAACTGACCAATAAGTCCTGTCTCTTTATAACCTCAAAGAGAGAGCACTGTGGAGCCAGGACGTGGCTTTCCAAATAATTTTCTTTTCTGGTGGAGCTACCTTTGCCCGTGTCAGGCAGGTCACCAAGGGCGGCACCAACAACTCTGACCAGGACAAAATGATCTGCGGGCCCTCACAGAACCCAAGCTGATGGGGAAACAACGAGGAGGCAACAATGCCTGGTAAGAAATGTACTCGTTATCTTGCCCGTGTAATTGTAACCCCCTCTGTACAGTATTCTCACAATAAAAAAAACCCAAGCTGAGTGCCTTCCACACCAAGTTGGCCCAAATCCATCATTTGCAAAACAGAGCAGACGTCCAAGCGCAAGGTCTGAGCCATGGCACACACACACACACACACACACACACACACACACACACACACACGAGGTGCCTTCCATCCCTGCCCACGGCTCCCAAGCAGGTCAGTCTGCTGAGACTCCATGGCAGAGCCCTGCGTGCCTGGCTCTGTTAGCAGGCCCCTGCCATTGTGGAGAGAGTGGCGGAGTTGGGTTCTCAAACTGGGTGGTGACCAATCATTGACTTGTTCCATTTGGTTATGAAACGCGTGTAATGATAAAGAAAAATGCAATGTGGTTTATTTCGGGCCACTGTGAACTGATTCAAGGCCAATCTCTGCTCATCTGATTTTCAGTTCGTGGCAGGAACCTGAACTACAAGAGGAAATAGAAGGAAGCAGGCTTGGGAGCAGCATTTTTTAAGTGGTTTTAACTTTACAATTTTTTTATTTTTGAGAATTGGCGTGTACATCACGATTGCATAAGGGGGAGACTGGATTTCTGATTCAAGGCCCTAAGACCAATCTGCTAATCTCACCCAAAACTCATTGCCCAGAGCACGCAATGCGTTTTTCTTCCAATTTCCTCTGTTGACCCCAGGATCTCTCTCCACTCTCAGCTATGACCCTGGTGTCATGGATCTCCATAGCTTCTCAGGGTCCTGGGGGCAGGGAGAGTTTCTCAGACTTCCTTTCTTTGTCCTAGCCTGGCCAAGTTTGTGAAGCAACAAACACTTAAAGTAACATCAGTGGAATGATGTGTGTGTGTGTATGAGTGCATGCGTGTGCATGCTGATTCATTGAAGATAACAGGCTCACAGACTTTCCTGACTGGTTGGCTTTGACCCTGGGTCCTCATTTCTCAGCCTTCTGAGAAATGTCGATAACCATTGGTGCCTAGCTTTGAAAGATTTCCGAATAGCTGCGGTGCTATAAATGCAAGGGTGACACTATGGAGATTTGTATCGAGCAAGGAATCAAATGTACAGCGTGAACATTCTAACCATCAGAATCAAGTGACAGCTCTGTGCCCTGACCCCAGGGAGACACAAATCTTCGTCTCCACAGACACAGGCAGAAGTCTGGACTTAGTCCCATAGGAACAGCTCTGTAGGAAGTCCGGCCATCTTCTCCTGGAATATTTTCTCAAAGGCTTCAGCCTGGGCTACGGTGAAGTGGTTCTTCCAGTCCCCTGTTATGCCTGGAAGCCAGGGAGAAACGCTGCAATCAGAGGGGGCCAGCACACAGAGGGCCCAGCCTACAGCTCCCTCCATGTCCCATCCCTGCTGTGCAACTGTGGAGGACCCTGCAGCTCAGAGAGAATTGTCAAGAACTGTGTGTGTGTGTGTGTGTGTGTGTGTGTACACTTATGAATGTGTACCTGTGCCTTCATGAGTGCAATGTGTGTACACATGTGGGTGTGTAAGGGTGTGTGCCTACCCATCTGTGGCGTGCACTTGAGTGTCAATGTGTGGTGTTGTTGTGGTGTTCCCTTACATTTGTGTGTGTGCATGCATGCGCACATGCCCATGTGTACAGGTGCAGGTGGGTGTGACATTACTGGGCCTGGGGGCTATCTCTCAGCTTTTTTCCTCAAGGCTGGTACTCTGCCATTTGTGTCACAGCTCCACTTCTGGCTTTTTGCTGGTGAATTGCAGATAAGACTCTCATAGAATTTTCCTGCCTGTGGGGCTTTGGACCATGAGCCTCAGATTCCAACTCCCTGAGTAGCTGGGATGACAGGTGTGAGCTATCGGCACCAGCCCAAGCAAGAACTTCACCAGAATACCAGTGAATTCAATGATGGATTTGGTGTTGTCCAGCCTTAAAAACAATGATTAAAATGCATCCATAGAGAGAATGAAACAAGACAGAACGGTGGGGTGGGGGCAGGGACACGCTGGGAATGTGGCTTAGTGTTAGATGCTTGCCTAGCATGCATAAAGCCCAGGGTTTGATTCCTCAGTACCACATACACAGAAAAAGCCAGAAGTGGCTGTAGCTCAAGTGGTAGAGTGCTAGCCTTGAGAAAAAAAAAAATAAGGAGAAAAAGAAGCTGAGGGACAGTGCTCAGGCCATGAGTTCAAGCCCCAGGACTGGCAAAAAAGAAAAAGAAAGAAAGAAAGAAAGAAAGAAAGAAAGAAAGAAAGAAAGAAAGAAAGAAAGAAAGAAAGAAAGAAAGAAAGAAAGAAAGAAAGAAAGAAGAAAAGGAAGGAAGGAAGGAAGGAAGGAAGGAAGGAAGGAAGGAAGGAAGGAAGGAAGGAAGGAAGGAAGAAAGAAAGAGAAAAGAAAAAAAAGAAAAAGCAAAGAACAACAGGATTCCGAGATCAGGGAGATGCATTAGAACAGGCAATGGCCAAACAAGAAAACAGAAGTGCAAATGGAGCACAATAAAGCTAAACAAAAACACAGGCAACAGTGAAGACAGCAAAGTTAAGAAACACAGGCCTAGCAGAAACAGAGGATTTCAATGTAGTAATGGAATAAAAAAAAGCTATTCTGATATGAAGAAATAAAAAATGACTAATAAATACATAAAACTCATTGGGTCCTGGTGGCTTACACCTGTTATCCTGGTATGTCAAAAGGTTGAGATTGGAGGGTCAGGTTTGAAGGGAAGACTGTGAGACTCTATCTCCAAGGTACCATGCAAAGGCCAGAAATGGAGTATGGCTCAAGTGCTATAGCACCAGCCTCCAAAATTAAAAAAAAAAAAAAATTAAACACTACCCAAGCCCTGAGTTCAAGCCCTAGGACTAACACACATTAAACACACAAAAAAAACAAAGATAAAGCCATACTCATGAAACAATAATCTGTCAAGAATTCCCTTCCTGATCTCTGACAGATGTTTAAACCACAGTGAGCCATTCCACACCTTTCCTGGTAATTAAGCATCCAGGAGAAAAGTAATCCCCTTTCAGCAGGCTGTAATTGGACATTGTGTTTTTCTTCATGGCCTGGAAGGAGCTGTTCTCCAAGACCAACTCCAGCTCTTCGGGGTTCAACTTCTTCCCCAGGAACTGACAGATCTTCTCCACAGTGCTCCTCGTGTCCTGCAAGAAAGAAAAGCAGGACAAGGAGAACAGAGAGCGGCTCTCAGGAGGAGGGAGCTTTGGAGGGAGGACAAGAAGAGACAGACAGCCAAACTCCAAGACAGACTGGTGTGTCAGAGGCTGAGCTGGGAGCAGGGATGTAGGGAGCCGTAGGTACAGCTCAACAGGAAAGGCCATCTGAATCCTTGTGCTTGCTCTAAGGGACATACAAAGAACTGGATTACTTAAAAATCACTAGGTGCCCGGGATTGTTTTAGGATGTCTGTAGAGTCTGTTTTATATTTAACCAGTTGACCTTGTCATGTTTTTTTGCACTCTGTTTTTACTAAGCCTAAAGATTCCTTGTTTTTGTGGACTATAGTAACCTTATGCTACTTCTTGACTTCTAACAGTATATATAGGAGGAAACTAAAAATCAACGGTGCTGCAGTCTTGATCTGCAAACCTCCCCACCCCATCCCTTGTCTTGTGTCTTTTTTTTTCTCATCCTTACCCCCTAAATCAGGATTCCCTTTCATTGCTGGCAGGCTCTGGCACAGGGAGGGAGGAAGGGATGAGAGCAGGATAGGAAGGAGGACTGGAAGGATTTGATCCAAGCACAACCAGAGCACAGAGGCTGGAGATGTCCCAGACCTAGAGCAAGGCATTTGGACAGTGATCAAGTGATAATTTGACAGTTATCCACAGGAAGATCAATACACCAGGTACTAGAGTGAACCACAGCTGATTTCTGAACAACACAGATTTTGTTAATGGCTGTGTGTGAGAGAGAGTTGTGTGTGTCTGTTGTATGGTTGAACTCAGTGTGTGCATACTATCTTGAGCCTTTGTGCTCAAGGCTAGCTCTACCACTTGAGCCACAGCTCCACTCTGGCTCTTTGGTGGTTCATTGGAAATAAGAGTCTCATGGACTTTGCTGCCCAGGCTGGCTTTGAACTGTAATCCACAGATCCCATCTTCCTGAGTAGCTGGTATTGTGTAGTCTGACCAGCGGAATGGGGTCTATGAAGGAGGAGAGATGTGTGTCAGTGTGAGGGGGCAGAGGGTGGGGTGCAGGGAAAATGGATCGTTACCTTCTTCAGCTCCTCGTAACTGAGCACCAGCACATTCTCCCTCTCCCTCATGGACATCCAGCCCTGGACATGTGCAAACCATGACCCGCACGGCACTGCAGGGTGGGTAAGGAGAGACAAGTAATCAACTTTGGGACGTCCAGATGTAGTCTATATTCTCCACATGTTTCCCCTTGTCTCTGTCAGCTTCTTCCAGGCATAACTGGCAAAAATCTTGTGCATATTTACCAATTAAAATATTATATTTAGCTGGGCACTGGTAGCTTATGCCTGTCATCCGAGCTACTCAGGAGACTGAGATCTGAAGCTCTGTTTTAAGGTAGTCAAGGAAAGGAAGCCTTGAGAAGCTTATACCCAATTAATCACTAAAATATGGAAGTGGAGCTGAGGGTCACCAGCAATAGAGCCCTAGCCTTGAGTGGAAAAATAAGGGAAAGTGCCCAGGGCCAGAGTTCATGCCCCAGGACCAGCATGCACATTCAGGTGCACACACAGAGATACACACACACACACACACACACACACACACACACACTTTACTTCACAAGCCACTCACCGCTGCCTTCAATGAACCACTCATAATACTGTTGCAGAGACTGTGGATTCTTCAAAAACGTTGCTTGAGCCAAGAAATAATAGCCAGACACAAGGACATCCTTCGGATTTCTGATGACATAGATCACCTTAAAGGGAGAAAGGCAAAAACTAAAAAATTATTAACATCTTTCCCATATTCAAGGTCTTGATCTCTCCATATCCTAGTTCTATATGATAGGATCCATATCAAAGGATAAGCCATCTATCTGCTCATTGTCTTAATTAGAACACTAATTGACTTTGTTGTTCATGCCAGTCCTGAGACTTGAACTCATGGACTGGTCACTGTCTCTGGGCTTGTTCTCTCAAAGCTGGCACTCTACCACTTGGAGCCTGGTTGGCGATGGTTCTTGGAGATAAGATTTTTTTGAACTTTTCTGCCCAGGTTGGATTTGAACTCCAATCCTCAGACATCCTCCTCCTGAGTAACTAGGGTGACCGCTATTAGCCATTGGTGTCTGGCTTATTTATTCACATTATCCTTTTTTCTTGGTCTATCATAGGGATTTAACTCTGGTCCTGGGTGCTGTCCCTGAGCTTCTTTTGCTCACTCCACCACTTGAAGCCACAGCCCCAATTCTGGTTTTCTTGTGGTTAATTGGAGTCTCATAGAATATCACACATGAGCTGACTTTGAACTACAACCATCAGATCTCAACCTCCTAAGCAGCTAGCCAGGATTACAGGTGTTAGCCATGGTACACAGGTAACATACTCGCTTTACTATTTCCGGTCGTGGGGCTTGTACTCTGGGCCTGGGTGTTGTCCTGCAGCTCTTCAGCTCAACGCTAGCTCTCTACCACATGAGCCACAGTGCCATTTCCATTTTTCTGTTGTTTTATTGGAGATAAGAGTTTCACAGACTTTCCTGCCCGGGCTGGCTTCGAAATGTGATCCTCAGATCTCAGCCTCCTGAGTAGCTAGGATGACAGTCATGAGCCACTGGTGCCTGGCACGTATTCACTTTTGATGGAATGAAGCTCAAAGAACAGACAGGCAAGCAGTTGTGTATAAAGGAGATTTGTGAGTTCTGGTTGAGCTTAAATGGTGGTTTTGAAGATTCTGGCACCCAGGTCATTTGTGAGGGCCCATCTACACTGGTCCGCATCTTGGGTCTGAGGTCTCTCAGCAGATGAGCACAACTTCAGGGCCATGGAAAACTGCTAAAGGCCAACACAGCTTGGCCTCATCTCCAGGTCTATATGTTTCAGAATTCAAGATTCAAAAGCATCAGATGAGCCTGGAAACGTGACTCATACCTGTCATGCTAGCTACTCAGGAGGCTGAGATCTGAGTATTCCAGTTCGAAGCTAAGCCAAGCAGGAGATTCTGCGAGACATTTAGCCTCCAAATAACCAACAAAAATCAAGAAGCTGAGCTCAATACGCAGAGCTCTAACCTTGAGCAGAAAAGCTCAGGAACAGGGCCCAGGCCCTGAGTTCAAGTCCCAGCACAGGCACACACACAAAAAAAGAAGCATTGATGTAGCAGTTATTGAGCACTGAGCAATGAGCCCTGACCTTGGCCTTGGAGGTGAAGAAAGACTTGGGGAAGAGTTGGATGGGGAGGTGGGAGGTGATCAGTGGGGGACCCTCCTTCCTTTCTTTTATGGTTTGGAATCCATGTTTAATCTCGATCCATGGGGAGCGATCCCAGATAGGCACAGAGCGGATCCACTCGGGATCCCCATTGCTGTGAATGAGACACAGGATCTCAATCACCCAGTTGGTTCCTGGAGACAGAAGGAAAATGAAGGTCACTCATTTCTCTCTGAATTGTATAAAGACCATGACGGTAAAATATACATAACACAAACCTTACCAATATAGACTTTGTCTGGCATATAATCTTTGATCATGTAATGTCCATATTGGTGTGTGTGTGCGTGTGTGTGTGTGTGTGTGTGTGTGTGTGAACATGTACATTTATATGTGCCTCTCCTAAGGCTTGAACTCCTGCCCAGGCACTGCTCTTGGCTCCTGATTCTCAGTGCATTTTCCTTGCAGTGAGTACTCCGTGCTGGCTCCGCCCCATCCCAGTGCCTGGTGCTCCTCCCCTCGAGGCCCCCTCCCCCCATTACAGCCTGTTCTGCCAGTTCCCAACTACTCCCCACAAGGAATATTCTTCTTATTGATCTCAGGGCCTGGACACGTGCTCAAAAGCCAAATGTACTCTGTACCTGGCCTATGAAATGGGAAGCCTTCTGTACAACACCTTATTAATAATGATGAAAATATAAGAGCAAGAAGAGGTGCTGGAGATATGGCTCAAGTAGTAGAGTGCCAGCTAAATAAGCAAGCCCAGCAAGTACAAGGCCCTGAGTTTAAATCCCAGTACTGCACCCACCACAAAAATTTTACAAAAATGAAAAGTGTTTGGCATATACTAAATGAAAAATGTTACCATTTATCTCAAAGATGTCCATGACATTGTGGCTCAAGTTTTAGAGTGTTACCTTGAGCAAAAGAAGCTTAGGGACAGTGTCCAGGCCCTGAGCTCAAGGCCCAGAACTGGGGGGACAGAGGGGAATGATGTCAACGAGTTCTTGATGTAGAATTTTTTTTAATATTGATAAAACAAAATACCAGTATAAAACCTTTCCCCCGTATGCATGGACTGAGAAAGCCAGCATATCTCATATGCCAGCCTCCAATTTAGCTCCATTATTAAATACCATCCCAATTAACAACACCTGGCTGTAGTTGGCACGTGCACACATGCTGATAGTGTGAAACACTCGTCAGAAAATGTATGCGGAGGAGTTGGTATTGATCAAGATGCCTCATTTGGTAAATGGGCAGTGTGGCACTGAAATCATTTAGTGCACCTGCTGAAACATCTTTTAGGTTTTTTTTTTTTTGTCCATCATGGGGCTTGAACTTGGGGCCTGAGCACTGTCCCTGAGCTCTTTGCTCAAGGCTAGTGCTCTACCACTTTGAACCGCAGCTGCATTTGGTTATTGGGGAGAAGAGTCTCACGGACTTCCTTGCACAAGATGGCTTTGAACCAAGATCCTCCGTCTCCTGAGTAGGATTATAGACAGGAACCACCATCAGACTGCTTGAAAAATCATTTTTATTAACCAAAATAAATTAGTTACATTAAAACAAAGGATAAGGGGCTGGGAAGGTGGCTCAGTGGTAGAGCGCTAGCCTTCAGCTGAAGAGCTGAGGGACAGTGCCAAGGCCCAGAGTTCAAGCCCCACAATCGGACCCAAAATAAATAAATAAATAAAAATAAAACAAAGGGTAATATTTAAAAGGAAACAAAACTGCATGTGATTCTTCTATGAGCTCTGCAGAATTCACCCTCCATCATTCACCCCTGGCCCCACAGACAGTCACAAATGCCTGCTTCTGCCATAGGCTCAACTCTATCACATTGCGCCAGTACCTTCACCAGCCCACCATGCACATATCAATCCCTGTGAAATGTGCTGGCAAGATCCTGGTCCATGCAGGGAAAGAAACAAATGAGCTACTACACCGCCCCATGCAGGAGGCTGGAGGGAGGGAGGCACAGGCCTGGCCTTTCCCACAGAGCCGCAGCCCCATCTGCTCACCTGATTTGGGGTAGGTCACTATGATGATGTCCTCGTCCTTCAGCAAAAACTGCTCGTGGACTGCTTTTATGGATTCAGGGGTGTACAACTTGGAAGGGAAAGGAATGCCCTGGTACCACATGTAGTCCTGAGCCATGGTGGAGCCTTGTGTGCCTGGTTATAGATCACAGACCACTTCCACTTGGACAGTTTGTAGTAGCCTCTGGGTTGTCATTCTGGGTAATAAATTAATCATTAACTTGTTGTTTCATTGCAAAACTAAGTTGTTGGTAAAGGCAAACACAGTGTGATCCTCACCAGGGGATTTTGAAATGTAAAATCATTCAGGGGCGGGATTTTCAGTTCAGGGCAAGTAACCTGAACTAAATGCAGAAGAAGGAAGCAAGCTTGGGGACAAATTATTGTTTTTGTCTTAAATTGACAAATCTTTTCTTTTGGGAATAGGTATCGCTATCACAGCAATTGGACAGAGGGAGGCTGGACTCTGGCCCAACGTCCTAAGTCCAATTCACTAACTTCACCCAAAACTCATTGCTAAGAAGACTTGGTGCATTTTTCTTGTGACTTCTTGTTTCCCCCAGGATCTCTCTCGGCTGTGGGATCCCAATCACGGTCTCTGGTGTTTGGATCTCCGTGTCTCCTCAGGCTCCTGAGGACAGAGTTTCTCAGACTTCCTTTCTTTGTGCTGACCTTGCAGGTTTGAGCAACACCAAATACTTCTGTAACACCACTGGGATGGTGTGTGCTCTGTGCATGTACGAAAATGCATGTGTGAGTTTGTAACTGCATGTGTGTGTGTTCACACCACAGGAGTCCATTCCTGTGAGGGTCAGGAGCAAACAAATCTAGGTAGGCTTACCCCCAAGCAACTGTGTGCATTGTGCCTGGTGTGGGCAGGCAGGGCAGTAGGAACCTCTGTCTGGAGGACAAAGGCTCCAGGTCTGACTGAGCCATGAGCACCAGGTGTTTATTCACTGCACAGCATTCAGTCAGGCCACAGACACCCGGTCACATGACTCTGAAGCCATACAATCTCACTCTGGTGTGTATATATGTGTGTGTGTGTGTGTGTGTTTGTGTGTGTGTGTGTGTGTGTATGTATATATATATATACATATATATATATATATATATTTCCCCCCAGTTCTGGAGCTTGAACTCAGGACTATGTCTTTGCACTCAAGGCTGGTGCTCTACCACTTTAGCCACAGCTCCACTTCTGACAGTTGTCTTGGTTCATTTGAGATACCAGTCTTCTGGCTTTTATTTCCTGGGCTGGCTTCAAACCTTGATTCCCCAGACCTCCAGCCTCCTGAGTAGCTAGGATTACAGGCATGAGCCGCTGGTGCCTGGCTCCAAAGACCGTTCTTAGTCTTAAACTCTACAAACAAAAACAAAAAACAAAAAGAGCCCTCCAGCCTATTTCCTTGTATTTCCTCTGGTAGTTGAGATTCCCTACCATGAACTAAAGTCAGAAGAGTACAGATCACCCTTGTGTTGTTTTTTTAATCATCAAATCACTTTCATAACAAAATGAAACAAGTTAATGATTTTCTTCAGTCAGTGGTGTCACCCCCTCCCCAGTGCCAGTGGCCTGGGACCAAGAGCCAGGCACACAGGGCTCCGCCATGGCTCAGGACTACGTGTGGTACCAGGGCCTTCCTTTCCCTGCCGTGCATTTCAACTCGGAAGTCATAAAAGCAGTCCACGAGGAGCTTATGCTGAAGGACGAGGACATCATCACGGTGACCTACCCCAAATCAGATGAGCAGACTGGGACGCAGCTGGGTGGGAAAAGCCAGGCCTGTGTCCAACTCCCTCCAGCCTCCCTTGTGGGGATGGTGTATCAGCTCATTATTGAAGACCTGTGGCCCATGTGGTATAGTTCCAACCTTGCGCATAAAAGCTCAGTGACTATTCCCAAGCCCTGAGTTCAAGCCCCAAGACTGGCACCAAAAATATAAATGAAATTTTTTAAAGAGCTACCATCATAAATTAAAACGAAAAGAATGGCTTTGAGGTTACTTGGAGGAGAGGGATGATTTGAAATTGAAGATTTGTTGTTGGGCTGCAGTTGGGAAGTGGGAACTTTCTAGTAAGTAGAAGGAACTGGCAGGCCAGTCCCAGAATTCAGAGGCAGGGGGTGCACGGAAGGGATTTCACGAACTGCTGAGAAGTAGATTAAACCCAAATATCCCCAGAGAAATGGCTGCGTAATCCCAAACAGATTGAGAGATCAAAGTAGAATATTACTTTGGAGACAACTCAGACGCATGCTCTACTATTTTCAGGATATGTGGACATTTGAAGCACATGAGACAAGGCCACAGTGCAAAGCACAAACTGTGTGTGATTGCACTCACATACAAGTCCCAGAACTCTCAACGTCCCGGAGGAGAAAAGTGCATGGTTGGGGTCAGGACAGGTGGCAAGCAAATCAATATTCAGTTGTCATGGACAATGTAGATTTATAAGATGTCAGAATACTGGCATTGAGTGAGCCATGATTGAAATAAACTAAACACTACTTATCCGCACCAGAGTGCTTGCTGGAGAAAGTTTACATCATTAAGGTTTATGGTATGTATATTTTACCACTATGAAATCTTATATAATATTGTTATTCAGATAGAGTGACTTTTGTTTTTCTTTCTGCCCCAGGAACCCATTGGTTGATTGAGGTTCGCTCTCTGATTCACACCAAGGGGGATCCCAAGTGGATCCGATCTGTGACCTCATTTAATCGCTCCCCATGGGTTGAGACCACATGTGAATCCCAAATCATAAAAGACAGGAAGGAGGGTCCCCTCCTCATCTCTTCCCACCTCCCCATCCAACTCTTCCCCAAGTCTTTCTTCACCTCCAAGGCCAAGGTCAGTGCTCAGTGCCCAATAACTGTTCCATCAAGGACTGTTCCTCTTAAAAATGCACATAGCCAGCAGGTCTGGCATTCTCCCTCTGTAGTTCACAGAGTTCTGAGACTCTCCTTTATGAGGCGAGGGTCCTCAGACCAAACCAGAGTCATGGCTGAATAATCCCTGACAGATGAACTAACCAAAAGACTAACCAAACTGTATTTTAAGTGGATACCCAGGCCTCATGCGGTCAACCCAGCTAAACAGGAGGCTGAGAGGTTCAAGATCAGAAGTCAGCCTAGGCAGAAAAGGCTAGGAGACGCTTATCTCCAATGTACCATCAAAAAAAAAAGCTGGAAGTGGAGCTATGGCTCAATTGGTAGAGCATCAGACTTGAGCACAAAAACTCAGGTCAACACCCAGGCCCTGAGTTCAAGCTCCAGGACTGGCAAGAGGAAATTTTTAAAAAGAGCCAAGTGAGATTGTGTTTTTTCAGTGTCGTGTGGCCTGGTGGCTGTGGCCTGAACGCTGGAAGAGTGAATAAACACCTTTGGTGTTCATGGCCAGATCAGACCAAGAGCCTTTGTCCTCCAGAGAGAGATCCCAGTTCCCTGGCCCAGCCCACACTCTTACTTACTAACTCTGTGCAATGCTACCTAGATGTGTTTGCTCCTGAATATCATAGAAATGGGTGCATAGGGGGTGAACTCTCTTCTGCTGCAATAGTTCATACTCCCTGACTCCAACTTGAATGGCTTTTTTGTTTCTGTTTTTATACCACTCCTGGGGCTTGAACTCAGGGCCTGGAGACTGTCCTTGAGCTTTTGTCCTGAAAGCTGTCACTCTGCCACTTTGAGCCACAGCTCCCCTTGTGGTTTTCAGGCAGTTAATTGGAAGTAAGAGTCTCATGGGCTGTTCTTCCTGGGCTTACTTAGAACTGTGCTCCTCAGATTTCAGCCTCCTGCGTAGTTGGGATTACAGGCGAGGGCCACCACCACTTAGCCCCTTCAATGATTTTTTACAGAACAACTCATAAATCTGTGGCCAGCAAATGATAACCAGCATCTGCTCTCCTGTGCTTTGTAGGCATTGTCCTTCCATTGTTTTATTCCTGCCAAGGTAATTTGTCTGGAGGCAATCTGAAATGTATTTGAAGAATGAATGCCCGACCAAAAGACCCACCGATACTTTGATGTTTGAGAGCAGTTTTAGAGACTTGATCTGAAACGTGCAACATGCAACATCATGCACGTGAGACATTATGGGAATGTTTTTTGTTTTCTGTTTGTTTAATTCTTTTCCTTCTCTCTTTAAGGTGATCTATGTCATCAGAAACCCTAAGGATGTCCTTATATCTGCTTATTATTTCTGGGGTTTTACAAATCTGGCTAAGAAACCAGAGTCACTGCAACAATATTTTGAATGGTTCTTTTTTTTTTTTTTTTTGCCAGTCATGGGGGCTGAGCTCTGGGCCTGGGCACTGTCCCTCAGCTCTTCAGCTCAAGGCTAGCGCTCTACCACTTGAGCCACAGCGCCACTTCTGGCTTTTTCTGCTTATGTGGTGCTGAGGAATCGAACCCAGGGCCTCATGCATGCAAGGCAAGTACTCTACTACTGAGCCACCTTCCCAGCCCTTGAGTGGTTCTTGCAAGGACACGGTGAGTGGCTTGTGAAGGGGGCAATCAGTGCTGAGACCTCAGGGCAGATCAGGAATGGTAGAGACTTTTTTTTACCAGTCCTGGGGCTTGAACTCAGGGCCTGGGCATTGTCCCTGAGCTTCTTTGGCTCAAGGCTAGCACTCTCCCAATTAAGTGCCCCTTCTGCCTTTTTCTGTGTCTGTGGTACTGAGGAATCAAACCCAGGGCTTCATGCATGCTGGGCAAGCACTCCACCACTGAGCCACCTTCCCAGTCCTGGTAGAGACTTTTTATACCATCCCCGCTGTTCCCCCTGCAATGCCATACGGGTCATGGTTTGATCACATCCGAGGTTGGATGTCCATAAGGGAAAAAGAGAACATGCTGATCCTCAGTTATGAGCAGATGAAAAAGGTAACCATCGATTTTACATGCACCCCACCCCACCACCCTCCTCACCCCTTCTACCTCCTCCTCTCCCTAGAATCCCCGCTAGTCTCCACCCCACCATTCCTGTCACATTTCTGCATCGTGTTGTGTGTTATTCCTTCCTGCGTTCCACCCATCCTCCTTTCCTTTCTTTTTATTTCTGGTCCAAGGTGGATTCTTGAACTAAGTACCTGATGCTGTGCTCAACCCACTGAGCCATGCCTCCAATCCCCCACTGCACTCATCCTTTCTCCTGCCAGTTCCTTCTGTTGTTTCTCCCTTCTCCTGCTCCCTCCTCCTGAGACCCATTCCCTGTTGTCTCCCTTTCATACCTATGGCCCTATTTTTCTCTCCTTAGGACCCGAAGAGCATGATAGAGAAGATCTGCCAGTTCCTGGGGAAGGCGCTGGAGCCAGGAGAGCTGGACTTGGTCCTAGAGAACAGTTCCTTCCAGGCGATGAAGGAGAACAAGATGTCCAATCTCAGCCATGTGCCCGAGGAGCTTATTCCCACCAGTATAAAACTCATCTGGAAAGGTATAGAAATGCCCCAGGGAAGGAGATGCCAAAAGCTGGGAAACGGAAGTCAGGTGCTACAACCACAAAGTTGTGGCCTGGGCTGGGAAGTTGGCTCAGTGGTAGAGCGCTTGCCTTGCATGCCTGAGGCTCTGGGTTTGATTCCTCAGCTCCACATAAGCGAAAAAGAAAAAAGCCGGAAGTGGCGCTGTGACTCAAGTGGTAGAGCACTAGCCTTGAGCTGAAGAGCTGAGGGACAGCGCCCAGGTGCAGAGTTCAGGCCCCACAACCTGACCCACCCCCCACAAAAAACACAAAGTTGTGGCCTTGGGTCAGGCTGGCTGATCACGAGGAGGAGGAGGAGGAGGAGGAGGAGGAGGAGGAGGAGGAGGAGGAGGAGGAGGAGGAGGAGGAGGAGGAGGAGGAGGAGGAGGAGGAGGAGGAGGAGGAGGAGGAGGAGGAGGAGGAGGAGGAGGAGGAGGAGGAGGAGGAGGAGGAGGAGAAGAAGAAGAAGAACAACAACAACAACAACAACAACGACAACCCTGGCACAATGAATAAAATATTTCTCTATAGATTGGTAAATAAGTCCCTAGCAGCAGAAAAAAATCCGTCCTCAGGAGTCTTTTTGTCCACCAGGGGGCGGCAGAGGGGATATATAGTTTGCACCATGGCCAAAAGGACAGAAAAGAAAGACCCTGGAAGTTAGCAGCCCGCATTCTGTGGCAGAGACAAGTAGAGTTGATGCCACAGGACCTCAGTGCCCAGGCCTCTGAGAATCTCAGTTTCTCCCTCCGTGTGGGTGCTCAGCTCCCCCAGAGGCTGCCATCCCGGCCTTGCCTCCCTCCGTGCTCCCCATGGTGACCCCATAAGGTGCAGAGAGCCGGGCGCCATGAGTGTTCATGGAGACGGTGACACCAGCACGGTGTGGGGGCTCCTGGTGCTGAACACTGATTAGACCTCATCAGCAGTTCATAATGGGCTCTACACTATGACACAGGTGCTGTGTTTTTATATTTGTACACAGCATCATCGTTGAGGGTTTGTTTTTTTTTTTTGTCACTTCAGAAAAGAGTGGTCCCAGACAATGCTTAAAAAGCATAAGTCAGAAATAAAGAGCCAGGCGCTGGTGCCTCATGCCTATCACCCTAGCTACTTAGGAGGCTGAGATCCGAGGATCACATTTCAAGGCTGGCCTGAGCTGGAAAGTTCATGAGAAACTTATCTCCAGTAAACTAGCCAAAAACCTGGAAATGGAGCTGAGGCTCAAGTGCAGAAAACAACTCAGACACACAACACCTAGGCCCTGAATTCTAGTCTCTGTACTGGCTACCCCTATCCGTGTGCACAGACACACACACACACACACACACTTAACTTTATATTATAGAAGAACTCTATTGCATGCAGGCAGATATTGAAGGTACCAGAGTCCTCTGAGAACCCAGTATGAGATTCCTGACTCCCCACACCTGGGGCAGGAACAGCACCCATAGTGGCAGAGGGCAGAACTTCAAAGGAGAGCACTGCACATGGAGCATGTGGAGTCCATCTCCCAGGGGAGAGCTGTGGCTTCACCCCCAGGGAGGGCAGAGGCAACACAAGGGGACAGCACCATCCTGCCCTGGATCAGTCTGATGTCATTGTTTTTCCATGGCTTCAGGCATCATAGGAGACTGGAAGAACCACTTCACCCCAGTTCAGGCCCAAGCCTTCGAGGAAACATTCCGGGAGAAGATGGCGGGACTTCCTCCGGAGCTGTTCCCTTGGGACTAAGTCCAGACTTATTTCTATGTTTGTAGAGACAAACACTTGTAGCCCCCCCTCACCTGATAGTGGTGATAGGATGGGGGTGGGGTCATAGCGTAAATCTGTCACTCAAATCTGGAGGTCTAAAGTTTCATATTGAAGCCTTAATCCAATCACCACGGTGCCCATTAACTCTATTCCATCCAGGGCATACGAGGCTTTTTTCTTTAAAAAGTATTACCTTATTGGTATAATACAGGTGATGTACAGAGGGCTTGCAATGTCATGAATGAGGTAATGAGCATACTTCCCATCTGGTGTCTTCCCTGCCCTTGCTTTCTCCATCCATCCTCCACCCATGAGTTGCATAGTTCACTTCATCCATGTCCACTGAGCCCCACGGCTGCACTTGTTCACCCTTTTACCCTTGAGTTCTGGGGTCTCCCCCCACCTTCTCATAGATATACACATGAATATACCAGACATAGTAAACAAAACAGACTCATCAGCAAATAAAATTTTTTAATCTAAAAAAAGGTAAAAGATCTCGTTTCCATAACTTGGAGTTCATTTCCATAGATTTCTTATTTCATCTAGACATAAAGAGCTTTGTAGGCATTGTGCTTCTCTCCTAAGACTAACCTCTTTTGGTCTCATTGTGTGTGACTATCTAGAATCCTCTATCTGTTATCATTGACCAGTGTATTTTAGAACTAATAGCTTCATAGGAGACAAAACCTGCTCCATTAGCGACTCTGAGCTTGGCTTCCCTCACTTAACATGATTTGCTCTAGTTCCATCCATTTCCCTGCAAATGACATAACTTCATGCTCTCTAATGGCTGTGTAAAATTCCATTGTATATAGGTACCACATTTTGGGGATCCACTCATCTACTGTGGGGCACCTGGACTGTTTCTTTCTTGGCTATTGTGAATAGGGAGCATGGACGTGCAGCTGTCTTTATAACATCCAGGCTCGTGATGTTCTGGGTATGCCCAAGAGTGGTATGCCTGGGTCTTAGGTGAAAAAAAAAAAATCTATATTTAGTTTTGGATGCTTTTATAGTCACATGATACATTTTAATGGGATGGTGACATTGGTCAAACATATTAGAAACCATAAAAAATTAAGAACCAAACTATACATCATACATTTACCTATATAAATATATTACATATGCACTATATATAATATAGCATATATAATATATAATATAAATATATTATATATTTTATATATATATATTTTACATGGGTAAAAAGTCATATAAAAAAACAAAAGATACCAGGGACCCCAAAATGGTGCATACTACCTGGGAACCACCCTCATTGTCTTCACCCAAACAGGGGGTGGGGTGTCCCAACATGCAGATCCCCCAAGACGCTGACAACAGCGGAAAACCCGACAACAGAGAACCGCAGGAACTGAGAAGGAAGGAAGGAAAAGCCTCCTCCATTGCACACACACAGACAGAAGCCCGCGAAGCCCGGGCCCCGGCCCATGGCACTGTGGACTGCAGAACCCAGACACCAGAAACGCCACCGCGAGGAATCCCGGGCCTGCTGGCCAGGGAAGCCAAGGCATGCTTGAGCAGGCTCAGCCAGAAGGGGCCCTTCCCTCCCCCCTTACAGGATCTACCAATCAGGTGCGCCGGCGCCTCAGCCCCCATAGAGAAGCACGAATCAAATCCTGCAGTGCGCCCAGCACACCCTCCCCCCATTGGGAGGTGCTGGCCCCAGGAGGGAGCCGCTGAAACCCCGCCCTGTCTAGAACAGGGATCAGTGTGACATCTAGTCAGCGTTTTAGAACAGTCCTGTAACAGTCTCATTAGATAGGGCAGCAAGATAAACCGCAAAGAATATGCTGGCAATGCAAAGCTTCGGATCTCAGGGGACTTTCGGCTTCCTCATTCATTGGCTGTTGCTAGGGGAATTTATGGGGTAGGGTACAAATGGGACGTCTGCAGTCATTACGGGGGACCTAAGCTCATATGCTGGAAATAGGCCTTGTCTCAAATTGGAGTTTTTATGCACAAAATGGTGATTCTCTTGCTAGAGCAAATTCATTGCTCTGAGCCCACACATCAAGGAAACAGAAGCTGCTCAAGTAAATAATCTCATAATGCAATTAAAACTACTAGAAAAGCAAGAAATCATTGCATCTAAAGTTACTAGATGGAGCGAGATAACCAAGATAAAGGAAATGAATGAGATAGAGATTTTTAAAACTATAAATAAAATTAATGACACAAAGGCTGTTTGGGGGAAAAATTAATAAAACTGACAAAACTCTTGGAAGAGTAGAAAAAAGAAGAAAAGAGACCCAAATCAATAAAATAAAGGATGCCACAGGAAAACTTACAACAAATAGCTGAGACATCCAAATGATCATAAATATTTCCAGAATCTATAGTCACTTAAGAAGGACAACCTAGTAGAAATGGATGAATTTCTAGAGAAATACAAATTGCCCAAACTAAACCCAGAAGATATAAATGAATTAAATGAGCCAATAACATACAACGAGATAAAGGAAGCAATTAGAAGTCTTCCAACAAGGAAAAGCCCTGGCCGAGAGGGATTCACCATGTAATTTTATAAGACCTTTAAAGAGGAACTAATACCCATACTCCTCAAAGTCTTCCATGATATAGAAGCAGAGGGAGAAATCCCAAACTCATTCTATGAAGCCAATATCACACTCATCCCCAAACCAGGCAAAGATCCAAGAAAAAAAAAGAGAACTACACACCAATCTCTCTGATGAACACAGATGCAAAGCTCCTCAATAAAATATTGGCAAACAGAATCCAGAAACAAATTTAAAAAATAATATACTTCATTACATAGATGCAAGGCTGGTTTAACATGCATAAAGCAATAAATGTAATTTACCATATTGATAGAGCCAAGGTCCAGAACCACATAGTTATCTCCACTGATGCAGAAAAAGCTTTTGACAAAATACAACATCTATTCATGTTAAAAGCTCTATGGAGAATAGGAATAGAAGGAACATTTTTTGGTCGGTCGTGGGTCTTGAACTCTGGGCCTGGGCGCTGTCCCTCAGCTCTTCAGCTCAAGGCTAGTGATCTACCACTTGAGCTACACCACCACTTCCGGTTTTCTGGCGGTTTATTGGACATAAGAGTTTCACAGACTTCCCTGCTTGGGCTGCCTTTGAACCTCAGTCCTCAGATCTCAGCCTCCTGAGTAGCTAGGATTACAGTTGTGAGCCACTGGTGCCCAGCTGTGACTTTAATTTTCTTTTGCTGTCCGTTTCAGAGTTTCTCACTTGAATTTGGAATTGCTGTATTTCTGGTCATGCCGAAGTTCTGGGTCATTCCTCATGTTTGTAATTTTGTCATTTCTCCACGCTTCTGTCAGGGCTCCATGGCCTGAGTTGGGTATGCAGGGTAGGGGTACCCCATATCTGTGATTTATGTACCTCATCATCTGGTGCCTCAGGCCCTGTGGATTTAGCTTTATAACCAGTAGAGGTGCCTGATGAACTGTTTCTCCCCTAATCCAACATGTCTTACCAATTGGAACTATAGCCCAGCGCTGGTGGCTCATGCCTCTAATCTGAGCTATTCAGGAGCTGAAAACTGAGAATCACAGTTGGAAGCCAACCCAGGCAGCAAAGTCCAGAAGACTCTCATCTCAACTTAACCCTCACAATGCAGGAAGTGGAGGTGTGGCCCAAGTGATAAAGCACCAGCCTTGAGCACAAAAATTCAGAGACAGTGCACAGGCCCTGACACTAAGCCCAGAAGTGGCACTAAAAAAAAAAAAAAAAAATCAGTTGGACTATGATCTGCAAAGTGCTGTGTATTATTGCCAAAATCAGACATGGATTAGTATTTCCCTGTGTCTTGCAGTGTTTTTAAGTAGAATAAAGCACACCAAGGCCTCTGCAGACTGACCTGCTGGGAGCCATGGGCAGGGATGGGAGGCACCTCATGCGCGTGTGTCACAGCCCAGACATTGCACTCGGACTTGTGCTCCATTGTGCAAATGATGGCTTTGGGCCAACTTGGCATGGAAGGCCCTCAGTTTGGGTTCTGTGAGGGCCAGTGGAGCTCTTTGTCCCAGTCAGAGGCATTGGTGTGGCCCTTGGTGTCCTGCCTCACATGAGGCAAAGGTTGAAGGGCAGCCTTAAGAAGGAAGTAACTCCAAAACAACACCCAGGCACTGAGTTCCATCCGCTGTACTGGCACTCTCCTCCCTCACCTGCCCCCGCACACACATGCACATGCACACACAGTGAACTCTCTATTATATAAGAACCTTATCACATGCACGCGAACACAGAGGGGACCAGAGACCTCTGAGAGCCCAGCCTGAGCTTCCGGACTCCTGCACACAGCAAGAAGGAACGACAAGGGCAGAACTTCCCAGGGGAGCACTGGAATAGAGCCTGTTCACTGTGGAGTCCATCTCCCAGGGGAAATCTGTGGCTTCACCTCCCGCCCAGGGTGGGCAGACGGTGAAGGGGACACGAGGGGACAGCGCCTTCCTGCCCTGGGACAGTCTGATGTCAGAGTTTCTCCATGGCCTCTAGGCATCATGGGGGACTGGAAGAACTACTTCACCCAGCCCCAGGTCCAAGCCTTGGAGAAAACATTCCAGGAAAAGATGGCGGGACTTCCTGTTCCCATGGGATGAAGTCCAGACTGACCTTGTAATAGGGCTTGTCAAATCTCACTGTCTTAAGAGTTTACTCTTAGCTCGCATAACTCTCTTTTGTTTTGGTGACTCCATCTTAGAGGACTGCACCCCACTCGTGAGACTAGTTCCTTCTAGTTTGACACTTAAAGATATATGTAGCCATTGTTCCACTTCTGTTTCTAGGTAACAATTGTCGTAATGAGTTAGAAGAAGGTTGTGGTAACAGGTCATGCTGCCCTCGCTCATGCTTGTTTACAGCGTTCTTTTAGCTTCTATAACTTCATATTTGGCATGTACCTGCAGGAAAACAATATCAGGGACTTTCCACCCTGAGTGAATAAGGGAGAGGGAGGTCTGCTTTAAAAAAACAATAAAAAAAAGGCCATGAGGCCTTTTGGGGCACCCAAAGCCCCAGTGCAGTCCTGGTTGGTAATGAAGACTTTCTATTGGCTTTACTGTGTCTCCTGGTGGTCTTCCCCACCACAATCTCTATGTCTGTAGAGATGAAGCCTTGTGCTCCCATCTTATAGAGTGGCAGGACTGGTGGGGTGGGGGCGGGGAG